ATATTTGGCAAGGCACCACATTTCAAAACTTTTCAATCTGAGAAAATGTGTTTTCACTTTCAGATAATTTTTAGCTGCACCACTTTTTTGATTAATAACTGTGTTGTGGCACTGTGACATTGACAACTTGCGTGTTCCTTTGTATCTAATTGCAGCATGGGGCTTATCAATGTCCTTGTGAAAGGCTGTGAGAGCTTGGCAACATCAGGCGTGGAGGAATTTGAGATTGTGTTGGTCGCGGACTTGCCTGCTTCATTTGACGATTATGTTGAGATCCTCACCAGGATAGCTCGTCACACGGTTGCAGGGGAGGTGCATGTTATCGTCTCTAAGACTGATGCTGCTCATGCAAAGCCCTTGGCTGATGTTCTGGCAAACAGTGGACAGGCGGTGCCTAAGTTGCTAAGACAATTAATTGACCAGAATCACTCCTGATGCAATATTCCTTTCTACTTATGCGGGGCCACCGAGCAATTTTGTCAGCGTCTAAGTGTTTTGCCTTCTTCTTTTCCATGTAATTCTCGTGTGTCGATTATTATCTCTTGCCTTGATGTAGCGCATTTGAATTTAAATTTTATGATGAATATGCGACAAGGCCCTTCCTGTAAGAACCAAAGTGCATTCTATATATTATTATCTGAAAGGAACTGTTGCGATGAGTTTTGTTTGAAGACGAAATGTAAGTTTTTGCTGTGCTCACCAAATCCTTGTATGTTCTGACAGAATTTTGCAACACACAAAAATAGTTTATGTTGTACCATACGTCTTCTTGAATGGAAGGCGTAATTTGTAAAATCCGCGTCCTACGGGTTCTTCTTCGGGGACATCTTCGCGGGAAACTCGACCCAAACCACACATCCTTCTGGGTACCGTCCAAATCAGAGGGGCGGATAAAATCCCACCAATGCTCCTCCTCGCTCCCACCCCGCCGCCGTCGCCGGCCACCGCTCACCGGCGACCGGGTGGCAGCGCTGCCTCGTGCATCCGCTGCTCGAGCGTGCGAGAGCTTGATAGGTCCCCGAGCCGCCCGCCGCTGCCGGCGCTGGCGGAGGCAAAGCGGGTGGTGCTGGTGCGGCACGGGCAGAGCACCTGGAACGCGGACGGACGCATCCAGGGGAGCTCCGACTTCTCCGTGCTCACGCCCAAGGGGGAGTCCCAGGCCGAGACATCCCGCCTCATGCTCCTCGCCGACTCCTTCGACGCCTGCTTCACCAGCCCGCTCGCCCGGTCCCGCCGCACCGCGGAGATCATCTGGGACAGCCGCGATAAGGACCTCATCCCGGACTACGACCTCCGCGAGATCGACCTCTATTCCTTCCAGGTGGGCACCTGCTCGCTCGCTCGCTCGCTTGATGTTTGTGCAAATGCTTGGCAGCCGGCAGGTGCCTGCGGAAATGCCACACTGACGAGCGGGATTTGTTTGCAGGGGCTCTTGAAGCATGAAGGGAAGGAGAAGTACGGGGCTCTGTTCCAGCAGTGGCAGAAGAGTCCATCAGACTGCAGCATCGATGGGCACTACCCAGTGCGGGAGCTCTGGGACCGAGCCCAGGGCTGCTGGGAGAGGATCCTGACACACGAGGGCAAGTCCGTGCTTGTGGTTGCGCACAATGCAGTTAACCAAGCGCTCGTCGCCACATCCCTGGGTATGGTGTAACCAGATTTTGATTTGGATGTTATAATGCTTAGGGCGTGTTTACAGTTGGCGTGTTTGTGTTTAGGACTTGGCACGGAGTACTTTCGGACTCTGCTCCAAAGCAACTGTGGCGCTAGTGTGCTGGATTTCACCCCACAGCCCGGTGGACGCCCTCCAAATGTGTGCCTTAACCGCTTAAATCAGGTGAGTGTAACTTTGTTCGCATAACTGAACTTTACTTCCCTTTGCAGCCAAAAAATTTCTGTTGACGCAGTGTGCTGAAACTTGACTTTCATGCTTATTGAAAATCCGAAACACACTATTAATATGAACTTTCTACTCCTCGCCTGTTTCTGTTAGCACAAGATCTTCTATTCTTAGATCAACTTCGAGATTAAAGGAACTAGCAGGGTAGCCGGCTTAATTTATATTGCTAGATTTGCTGCAATCTTATTACCATCAGCGGATACAATTTAGGTGCTTTAGAATAATGTGCAGGATAATTAGGTGTTCATAAAACATTGTAAATGTTGTGGGAAGTTTGAACTTTGAAGCAACAATACATCTTCAGTATGGAAAAATTGCATTGAGCATATTTCCTCTGCTTCTAGATAGTTGCAGGAATGCAACTAATGTTAATGAAAGTTGTCGATTCCACTGCACTTACTTGCTATTATTATTAATGACATATTTCAACCACCGAGCATTACTTATCTGTCTCAATACCATTGTTTGACAATGTTGACTTGTTGTGAGGTGTCCTCTTTTTTCAGGCTTCTTGCGAAGTAATAGATGAATTATTATTGTTATTTGTCATGTCAGTTTCTAGCACTTATGAGCAAGCATGGTGGCTTATTTCCACTGTTTTAATAAGACAACACATATGTTTCCAGAGAAAACAGAGATGAAGTAATCAAACAAATGAAAAATGTGGTTTAGTCTTTTGCTCATGTTTGTATTTTGTACAGACCCCGAACTCTCCTATTTCTGCCGAAAGTTCTGCAGGTAGAAAGTCGAGCAAGCGGATCATTCTAGTTTGTCAAGGGGCTACACAGAGCAGTTCTGAGGTATGGATTTTCCTTGTGTGCACGCATGCATGAAGAAAGTTGCACTTGTTCTTGGGATCAAGCCGTGAAGGCACCAGGATCTTATTTTCTAATTCCTAGAATTAATGATCTAGACACCTATGGCAGTGAAAACTATATATCTTTAATAGCACACCGCACCATTTGTACTCTTTTGAGTTACATATAATGTCCTTTTGAACTCCAGGGTAGTTTAGGCGGAGTGGGTTATGCACCGCTGAACATGCTGGGTGTTATACAGGTAATTCACATTTTGTCTGTCGTACAGCACCAATTTATTTCCTTTCCAGTACAACAGCTAAGCTCATATTCGGTCACACACTTTCAGGCTCAGAAGACCGCGGAACTGCTTCTAGATCTGAAGGTGAACAGTATTATCTGTAGCCCACAAGTCGCAGCTGTTGATACCGCAACTGCCATATGTGAGGTAAATATAAGTTTCACTAACCGCTTTCTATCTTATTTGTACCAATTTTCACCTGCGCGATCTGATCTCATGGAGTCACTTGCAGGTCCAAGAGGCTGCTGATTGCTTAGGTGCTGACTGTGTGCCTCGTTACGTTGAAATGAAGAATTTGCTTGGACTCGAAATTGATGATGCCTTTCTAACAAAGCAAAAGGTTAGACCATTTACAGTTTCTGTGGTTATGATGAGCGGCATTACACTAGCTCTACTTTGAAGGCCTTTTATATGTCCTGAAAGGCTGAAACGTCATTGAGATGAATTCATTACGAAGACACCATGACATCTGTAATTCAGAACTACTATTAGCAATGATCATATACTTCCTTTTATTGTTAAAGCTATCTCATGCGCACATTGGCTGGCACCTTTCTCTAAGGGAAATTAGACTGTTACTCGGAAACTTTACAAAACCAAACATAAACATTTCACATTTCCGGGGCTGAAAATTAACAATCCCCCCGTTCTCTGCAGAGCCTTGAACAGATAGTTCAGTCTGGTTGGATGGGCGGCATGGAACACCAAAAGCTAAAGACATTGTGGGCTCAGTCAGAGGATGCATGGCAAGCTTTGGTAAACGAATTGCCAGAGGATGATGGTGCTGAGTCAGACCAAGTCGTTGTCGCCATCGGCCATCCTGCCATCCACCTAGGACTGCTCTGCAGGTGTCTGAACCTAACAATGGATTACATGCCATCTTTTCATCTGGACGACGGCAGCATCAGCGTGATCGATTTTCCGGATGGGCCGAAAGGAGGAGGTATCGTCAGATGCACGAATTACACGGCCCATTTGGGCAGATGGTCGTTACCCATCACAAAATCAACAGAAAACAATGATGAATTCTGAATTAATTTTTGTACAGAGGTAATTAACATCTCCCTTTCTTTCGCTGTAAAAAGAAACATCTTCCATTTCTTGGTGGGAGTACGATCCTTAAGGAAAATGAATTGAGCTTGTAGATATCATACACTGATGTAAATGGCATCTTCCTGGTTTTTATTTGTGAAGATTATTTCATTCACTATACAGCATAAGTTTCCAAAAGAAGATTTGTCAAGTAGAGTATTATTTATGGGAAGAAGATTTGGAGCTCCTGGGCGCACCCCCTATATGAACATTAAATTAAAAAAATACCGGGGAAAATAAAAAAAATCTGGGATTTTGGATATCAAACTGTGTGCCCAATAAACTCCAGCGTGAAGTTTCTTGAAAAAAATACCAGAAAAGAATTGTCTGGATGGATCATAGGTTGGACTGTATTTTCTTCGCCATATATACATTTCATGGTATTTTTTTCATGAAACTTCACACGGGAGTAGATTGGTCACCCAAGTTTGATATCCCAAGATTTCACGTTTTTCTGAATTTTCCTGGTATTTTTTAATTTAATATTTATATAGGGGTGGAGCACCCAAGGGCTCATGTGTATTTCCCATTATTTATGCTACTATCCTATTGTTTCAACAGTATTATTTGTGTACTGGATAATTTGTTTAGAATGTTCCTGTTGTGATGTGTATGCTCCCAAACTCGGTGGTTATCAACTGCTGACTGGTGAGAGATTACGTGGACGGCGACAGAGCGGTTGCCCATGATCGATCTGCATGGAGGCATGCATGCGACACGTGGACCCCTCCTTCCACGTGTACCTCGTCATCCTCGAGCAGCTGGACATGGCTACTGCATGCGCCCTCGAACCTTCGCCTAGTTCGCTCCATTCCCTACGTAGTACGGTGCTAGGCTCCTGGTGTACACCTGTTAACCTGCAGCTCATCCCCGATGGATCCAGGACCCCACCACCCGTCCACGTACAACCACCACCACCACTACCCCTTCTTTCCGGCCGCCGGACCGCCCACCGCTGCCGGCGACACCCTTCTCTTCCTCCTCGCCGTACCGGCAGGCTGGCTCATCCGGCTGGTTGCCTTCCTCGGCGAGCGCGTCATCTCCGCGGTCCTCACCCTCGTGGTCCTCCCCGGCGCGACGCTCGTGGGCGAGCTGCGCGCCGTCCCTGCGGCTGCGGCCTCCCTCGCCCGGCGCGCCGCCGTGGGCGTGCTCGCCGCGGCCTTCACCTTCGCGGCCCTGGCGGTCGCGTTAGTCGCGTCCCTGCTGCTCGGCTTCGTCCTTATCCGGCACTGGGTGGAGGACCCGGTCACCGTGCGCCAGCCGCTCTACTTCGACTACACCGAGCCGCAGCCGAGCGCCGCCGTGGCCCTCTGCCCCCCGGCGGGACACTCCGTCAGGGTGTCCATATCGCTGCTGCTGCCCGACTCCGACCACAACCGTCAGATTGGCGTGTTCCAGGTCCAAATTCGCAGCCCAAATCTCTTGGAATTTCACCTGATCATCTGCAACCTATTGACTTCCCATCTGTTAAAACCTCACATTCAGATTAAAACAGAGGCCATCACCCCAAGTGGAAGCACCATCGCATCAGCCACCCAGCCATACATGCTGCGGTACAAGAGCGCTCCGGTGCGGCTAGCACAGTCCGCGCTGACAATCGTGCCGCTCGCCTTGGGCATGCGCAGCGAGAGCCAGTCGGCGACGCTGAAGCTCCTGCAGTACTGGGAAGGCCACGGCCGTCACAAGAGGACACGGCTCATCAGAGTCTCTCTGCAGCCAAGAGCCATGACAGTGCACCTGCCCCAGGTGTACAGAGCAGAGATCACCGTGCAAACGGCGCTTCCATGGTTCAAGGCCGTGGCGCGCAGCTTGAAATGGACAATGTGTGTGTGGCTCTCTTTCTGGGTCTATGTCATTCTCTCCCTGCTCGCGGTTCGTTGGGTCTGGCCACTCGCGCTATCTGCATGGGACAGTCACAGGGGGTTATCTGATCATCAAGTCAATGGGAAGACAATTGCTGCTAATCTGGGTGGAGGAGATACAGGCCAGAGCTCACATGAGGGATCATCGAGTGGTGGTGCTGTGAAGTGGAGGGACAGGAGAGGCAGGAGGAAAGCACAGAAAACGAGGCATGGTGGCATGGTTGAGCTCAAGCTCGATGAGGGCTCGTCTTCTAGCTCTGCAGTGGCTGAGACTGATGAAGTTGTCGACGACGATCATGGGGAGTCACCTGCTGCTCCATTGTCTGAGTCCGAGTCCTGTTAGTTCAGTCAGTGCAGTGGGCTGCAAAGTTTATGCTGACCATCGATCACAGTTTGTTACACGCCATGTGTAGGAGATCTGAAGGGCTTCCGTGCAGAACGACATATAATAACGCAAATAAATGGCAAAGATATATATATGTATTAATCGATAAGCTGCAGGGAGTCACGTAATTTGCGTTCCTTATTCATGTTGGTACCACGCTTTTAGTGTTTGGTTGACATGAACTGTCTATGGTCTCCTTTGGTCACAGATGTTGGATAGATGAGGATGGAGTAGTAGCTTGTTCCCGTTTCAGACTTTCAGGTCAGCCTCTCAGCAATTATATGTCTTTGTACACTTTCTAGTCATGGAGATTATAACCACTTGCTTTCCTGTGATACCTGTTTTACTGCTAATTGTATTGTGTTTTCTTTTGTTTGGATTCATATCTAGTTGAATCACTTAAATACAGAAGCATTTTATGTGAATTATTTTTCAGCCGTATGACTTAGGAGATGAAAATGGGAAATATAAAGTTTGTAACTCAGATAATGTACAGTTAGATGGTTGAAAATCCAACTTCGCTTGCTTAGCTACATGAATTTTGCCGGTTTATGGGATCATGTAACTTTGATGTTAAAAATTGTCCTTTGAGTATTTTAATCATCATCAACTTCCTTCAGAGAGGAGTTATATAAAGATGACAGGGACAATTTCAGAAACAGCGAGCCATATCATTTTTGCGGTATACAGATAAACATTTTATACCTTTGAGGATCCATTTGTTGGTTGTCTAGAGACTGGAAATTAAATTCGTAGCAGTGAAGTTCCCATCGTCATCATTTATAGCGGTGGACCATGTAGCACATGCTGTCATAGTACACATAAGCATATACTCCCTCCGTTCCATAATAGATGACCCAACTTTGTACTAAAGTTAGTACAAAGTGGGGTCATCTATTTTGGAACGGAGGGAGTACCTACCATGTCATTTTCTTCGCCAACTAATCATATACGAGTATATTTTTAGCCAACTCTTCTGCAGCAGGCATCATGGCTTACCGATGCATGCTCAAGTCCTGATTTTGCATGACAAGGAAATCGTGTATGTGCTAGTATATGGAAAGAGCCAGATTGAGGTGGTCCGCTCATAATGTCTTACTATGCACAAAGTGCTCATGCATGTGATGGTCTTAGCTCCATGTTTTCTTGTGATAGGGTCAGTCACTTCAGAAATAAATGTGTGCGTTTGAGGTCCTATTTGCGTACAAGGTTCTAATTGTATTGCAAGTGCACAAAACTGTTGAAGCTGGGGGCAACTAAGTTGAGGTCCTTATAAATCTGTGGGTTTCACAGGAGGATGTCTAATGATCAAATCGTTCGCATGAGCAGCGCATATCTTTTAATTTGCTGGGCAGTGTTGATCGCCAGAAAATGACATGTCTGTACGTACTCCAGCGGTGATAATGAGTCGCTTGCAGACTAATGAGACTGCGAAAGATTCTTCAGTTTCTGGGTGTTCCATGCCAAACAAGAGCCAAGTAGGCTGATGTTGGAACAGAAGTCCTGATATTGATAGAAACCTTATTCTCTTGAGCAGGTGCAACTTAGATATAGCTTCTAGGAGTATTCCAACACCCAACCACATCATGGAAGGAAGAGGACAAGTGAGCAACCTGCCCTCCTCCTTCCTGATGCATGCATGCTTACCTTATGCAACTGCCTTGCTTCTGCCGGCTAGCGTAATAATATACATATACATATCCTCTCCCCAGTTGCATAATGTTATCTTCTTGTCCATCAGTTTCCTAGTGGGTCTGAAACCGAAAGGCCTCATTTGTCAACTTGTGCCTGCTGCATTTTGAAAACCTTTCGTTCCTGGCTTGCTCTGGTTTAACGAAGATTAAGAGACATCCATTGCCCACTGCAAAAACTTCATCTATCTATCTATCTATCTGTCTGTTTTATTTCTGAAAAAATAATGATTTTGCTGCTCTAAACATAAAGGAATGCACTCGTGTCAATCCCCTCTTAATCAGAGTTGTACTTGGGCTGCACAATATTATTTGCATCTCCCTGTGGTGTCTGTACATTCATCTTTGTGCCAAGTGGATTAATGTATGCCGATTTCTCTTGTGAAGCCCACATCATTTGATCATCATCTACCATCTGATAAGTTAGCTGATCTGCCGTACCAGCATTTGACAGTGCTCTCACCCGCAAAAAAAAAAAAAGCATTTGACAGTGCTCTAGGATCAAGTCCTACGCTTTGCCAGTGAGTTGCATTCTCACCTAATTAACATAGCAGACGCCGTAAATCTAGTGCATGCGGATTGCGCATCTTGTAACATTCTTATTTATCAGATATCATTCGAGTCGTAACTGACGGACCATGGGGGGGCTGCCGCAGGGTTTTGCAGTTGCGTTTCGGCGCGGCGCATCTCATGCCATGTGTTTGTTGGAAAGATACGGAGTAGGTGACAAGGTAGAAAGCCTTTTGCTACTCTTATTTTCCACCCATCTCACCTTGTGTGATGTTGTAATTTCGTTACTTGGTCCTCAATCATTGAGAGGTTGGAACTTCCTGCTCCGCATTAAAAGAATGAAAGTAACAAGAGAGGATGCGTTAGTATTCAGCTGGGATCATATTTTTCATTCATATGCACATGTTGTCATGGGACCATGAAGAGTGGCACTTGCGTGATCCATTCCCATTGGCCGCCCTCAACATTTCGCTGTCTGAGACAATGATCGGATCAGCCTGTCTTAGTCACTTGTTTCACCGTGCTGTTTGGTTTCTGTTATTTTTACCTGAACAGTTTTTGCAACTCAAATCATGCCCACCTAAACATGCACCTTTTTTTTGTGTGTATGTCATCCTTGCCCGGGGTTATGCTAATTAACCTAGTGTTTGTGAGGTAAGTGTATGTGCGTGTATGTGGTATCTGCATTTGTACTGTGTTTAAAAGAAACATGGTGTTCCAGTTTTACGTAATGCCCCCCAAAGGACACATGAGAAGAACGAGCTTCACACTAATTGGCTTTGCACAGCCATATGCAATCTGTTTCGTGCTATCAAACCATGTGAATCCATTTGTGATTCACGATGCTTTTATTTCTTTTTCATCCAAGATATATTCATATTCAAATAAAATAATAATACTAATTGATTTTGTATATCGTGTGTGCAACCACAACCGCAAAAGAAGGATCAAACATACTATCTTGCACAAAAAGGACAAAAAATAACCATGCAACTATCCCACTATTTGTTTTTCCTTTTGGCAAGAGTGTGCACCAAATATTTAACTATACGCATTTACCACAACCGTACAATGAAGATCTGAGGGGCCCTCTAGCATCCCCTAAAACCTATATTTAAAAAGAAAGGTGAGATGCATGTAAGTTGCTTGACTTTTTTTTGGCGTAAGTCGATTTCGCCTGGGAAGGAAGATGGACATGAGGAGAAAGTAGGCTCGAGGTAGATGACACACCACGACCGTACGATGAAGATTTGAGGGGCCCTCTAGCATCCCCTAGAACATATATTTGAAAAGAAAGGTGAGCTGCATGTAAGTCGCTTGACTTTTTTTTGGCCTAAGTCGATTTCGCCTGGGAAGGAAGATGGACATGAGGAGAAAGTAGGCTCGAGGTAGAAGACACACCACAACCGTATCGGTGAAGATTTGAGGGCACGTCTAGCATCCCCTAAAACCTATATTAAAAAAAAAGTGAGTTCCAGGGAGTTTAACCAACATATCCCCTAAACCTAACTTTACCGAAGCAACGAAGATCCCCTAAAGCACTTTGGCTCCTTAAAAGCCATCCTAAATGACTATATTTGGTTTAGCTAGCAACCCTGTAGTAAAAGTAGGGAGACGTCTGCGCAACCCCCACGCCACGCCGCAACCATCTACCTTACTGCCAGTCACCCCCCTAGCCATCCCGCAGCCGTTAGCAGCTGCCCTAAGCCGATGATGTGTTGCTAGATGCTCGGGAGAAGCAAGGCGAAGTCAAGGATGCAATATCATATCAATGAAAAGCAAGTCCAAATCAATGAGAAGCAAGGCCAAATCAACGGAATGTAAGACGAAATCAAGTCGATGCAAGCCCAAAGAAGAAAATTGAAGAAACTTTGTCCTGCACTCGTAGTGGCTTCCATGATTTGGTTCTTTATCCTTGGATCATTTGCAGCTCTTGTTTGGCGGAAACTATTGCTCGTTGATGTTCTTGGTTTGGGCTTAGAGCTATCTAGTAGGAGTATGGTGTTATGTGTGTATGATATTATTGTCTAAAAGCTATCAAATTATGTTCTTATTAGGTTAAATATGTGTTTGACATGAATTTATGTTAAAAATGTTTTTTTGAGGGGCTAAAAGTATAGGGGATTTGCTAGTTGAGAAACAATAGTTCCCTTTAAAAAGAGGGGGGCGGGGAGTCAACTTACACCAAATTTATTTTCAGATGACATACAAATTGCCACAGCCTTTTTTTCACCAGAACTAGAACAAAGCATGCCAGGATTTTGAATTTGACATTAGTTGTGATCCCCATGAACTATCGTATTTCCCCGGTGATCTTGTGAAGTGGAGAGCTGGACAAGGTTGCCAACAAAATAGCATTATGTTGCAAACCTTTATGAGCTCCTCAAAAGGATCAACCCACAAACTCGCAAGAAAACAAACAGCCTAAAAGGGGCAAAAATCTTCATCCCAAACGCTCCCTCCCTGATCTAGAATCACCTTCAAAGAGTAAAGTTAGATGACCGGATGAGAATAGCACGCACTCCTGTCCCACTCTCTCGATGTATGTTTTGAATTTTGAAAACGAAAAAGAGAAACTTAGATGTGAATAGTCCATAGGTGTCGAGTTTCTCTTTTTTGTTTCTCGATGTATGTTTCGAATTTTGATTTGAATTTTTTAAGGGTTATCTTAATATGTGCTGTGAAGATGCAGGATTCTTTTTCAAAAAATTTCATAATGTTTAAATTTAAATTCCGGCCGCAAGTCACACGGTAACATGCAAACGTGCATGTCACCTTATCTGTGTCCCGTTGGCACCATCCTGGTCGTAGGACTCACGGGCAACCGCCGCCTGTCCCACTCTCTCGAGCCAACGTGCTAATAGTGAAGGCAAAATCCCAAGTGGACCAAGTTCCACCTACTAAGCTGGGGTGCTCGCCCAACTTTAAGAACAAAGCCAGGTGATTTCCTTGGGCAGTCTACTTCTTTTCTCCGCCTTTTCTATTATTACCGCGAGTTTTGACCATAGAAATGTCATAAACATTCTGATATACGGGAAAAAAGTGAAGAATTTTTTGGAGCACGGACAGAAAATGGCTCGGATGGGTCATGGATTGCCCTTCCATTTAGCCTTTCAGATGACTCGGCACTTCATCTCGTCCTACTCGGCCAGTGCGATCGGATGGTTCAGGTTTCTCCGTTCCTCATCCAACGGCTGAGCGCTCTTCCCCGACGCACTTAAATAATGGGCACGATCGAAGTCGAACGCGCCTCTCATCCCTCTCCCACTTTTGGGTCCGGCAGTTGCCAGCGGGGACTGGGAGCGGGAGGAGAGCCTCGCCGCCGGGTCGCTGCTATGAGTTGAAAACCACTGGCCACCACCTCCTCCTGCTCCTCCTCTCTTCTTGACACCTCAGATCTCATTACAATGGTCAGCGCCTCCAGCCTGCTGCTGCTGCCGTCCTCCGTGCGGGACCTCGCCTCCTGCGTCGTCGCCGACGTCGCCGCCTGCACCACCCCCTCCTCCACCCTCACCTCCCCCGCCTCCCCCTCCACGCTCTCCGTCACCGTCTTCTACCGCGCCGCCGCGCTCCTGCCCGGGCAGAGCTCCCCCGCGCACCTGCGGCTCACCTGGACCCGCTCCCCGCTCGGCCCCACGCTCTCCTTCTCCCCCTCCGCCTCCAACCCCGCCGTGGTCCTCCGCAGGCGCAGGGGCACGCAGTCCGTCCCCGTCGACGACGCCGCACGGCCACAGCTCGTCGTGTTCTGGGACCTCACCGCCGCGCGCTACGACGCCTCCCCGGAGCCGCACTCCGGCTACTACTTCGTCGCCGTCGCCGGCGCCGACGTCGTGCTGGCCGTGGGCGACCTGGCGGCCGAGTTCGTCGAGGAGAGGTTCGAGGGCCGGATCCCCAAGGCCGCGGCTTTGACCGTCCCGTTCGCGCGCAGGGAGCGCGTCGTTGCGCCGGACCCGGCGGCGATGCACACCGCGCGGCGCGTCCGGTTCGCCGAGGGCGGCCCGGATCACGAGGTAAGCGTAGGGTGCTCCGGCGGCGCGGAAGAAGAAGAGCTGTGGGTGAGCGTCGACGGGAAGCGCGCGGTGCAGGCGCGGCGGCCGCGGCTGAACTTCCGGGGGAACCAGACCGTGTTCGTGGACGGCGCGCCGGTGGACGTCATGTGGGACCTGCACGGCTGGTGGTTCCGGGAGCCTCCGTACGGCAGCGCGGTGGTCATGCTCCGGGCGCGCAGCGCGCTGGAGAGCCGGCTGTGGCTAGAGGAGGAGGAGGTCGCCACCGCCGCGCCGGGGTTCTCGCTCGTCCTCCAGGCCTTCAAGTCCCGCACTGATGGGCGGCTATCATCTGCCCCTGCCCATTGATCATACATGTAGCTACTCCATTCAAATGAGAGGACGGCGAACTTCGTGGAATTAAGCAAACTGCCTGTTTCACTGAAGCCGAAGGGATCAGTAAGCTTACAAGCAACATGATCATGAACATAACAGGTGAATACATTGATGTGAGTGTGTAGTGTAGGCAAATTTCATCTCCCTTGCTAGTTGATTTTACTCTTCTCCGAATCATAACTTGTGATGTGTGCAAGTACAGTTAACAAAGAACAGCAACATAAAAGTGTGCAATAGTTTGGATCCTTCTGTGTTGAATGATGAAATCATACTTTAGATCCTTCTGTGTTGAAAGATGAAATCTTACTTTAGATCCTTCTGTGTTGAATGATGAGGTGGTGTAGATATCGGGGGCAATAGTGTCTGCTTGTTGCCACTTACCTTCACTGCTGACTGTTCTTATGTAAATACGTCAATAACAGTGGTGCAGTTACAAGTGATTGTTGCAGCATAAATAATCTATCAACAGGTAATAGTAGATGTAATTCTACTAACGCTGACGGGTATTATCAGCCTACTGTTTGATGGCCATTGACATTCACATGTTATCCTGGTGAGACCAGTCATGAAATTTTAGTTACCAAAAGAAAAGAAAAAATGGACACATGATGCTTCGCTAGACATAGACTGTGCGTTGTCTGATTAAGCACTTCCCAGTTCCAAGTAGATGCAAACAGTTGATGTTCGGGAAGAAACTGTGCATGCTTGCCTGAGTACTTGAGTGTGATAAACAGTCAACTGCTTGAGTGTGATCAACAGATAATGTGGTGCTTTAAGAAGAAACCCGAATGAATTCTCATATTTACATCAACTCTCTGAAAACTACTGTAACATATAACAGCCATCCTCGCACACATGAAAATGTTTCTGATTCTACAGGTCTGCTCAGACTGCAGGAAAAGGAACTGCAAGCAGCTTCTAGCTAGGCTTTACATCATGGCAGCATGCCAACTACGCGAGGACTCTCTATGTTCAACTTCCCTGTCTGGTTGTTATTCTCACCAGGAGAGCCAACCTCAGATGGCGTCGGATTGTTTCCCTGATCCTCCGATGGATGGCATACTACCTGAATCTGATTCGCCTGGCCAGGTTCGTTTGTAAGAACCTGTGACGATGTCGTTGGCGAATGCCCTCTGCCGGAGAACAGGCAGCGGCATGGGTCAGATCTCGACACTTCAGGCGAGCATGGGGGAATTACTATCACCGCGCTCGGCAGAGGCGGCGCAGCATGCTTTCTGCCAGGGTCATTCCGCAGGGAAACTCTACAGACAGGACATGTCGAGTGCTGCTTTAGCCAGATGTCGATGCAGGCCACGTGGAAATCGTGGCCACAGTAAGGAAGAACGCGGAGTACGTCGTCATCTTCGTACTCTGCAAGACAGACGACACACCTGCAAACGAGGATGCAAATGGTTCAGGATAAAGGTTTTGTGTAATCAGGGTAGAATTGCTAAACAAGCATCAATAAATAACAGAAATCGCAATTCAGAATATTACTCAGAGCCCTGCTTCCTTCTTATCGAGCACGGGTGAGCATTTGACCTATTTGATAACAGTTCCCCCATCTTTCATATTCGTGTGATGTCCCATTATAGAACATAGAGGCACGCCCCCAGACGCCAAAATGACATTGCTGTGAACGCGCCCAACTTCTAGCTAAACTAGAAGAGCTAGTAGAAGAACTAAGGCGACAGACTGCACATCAAACTAGTGTTATGCCCCATTATATTCAGTAACAATGCAAGCTCAGTCACCCATGGTTCAGTAGCAAAAATCTAGATAACCACAGCCGTCAACACTCTGGTACTAAAGTGGCGTGGTTTGACTTAGGCACCAACATTCACTAGGACATCCAATTTTTCTATCAATGTGACGCTGTACCGCTGCTTGTTCAAGAATCAAGATACGTTAGCACTTATAGCAACACTCAAATATATACTTGTTCCTTGGCACGGAAGAATCTTTCGAGAGCACGCCAAGAGAAAACATCACTAGTGTTGCAACACCCGATTCCCCCAATCACCGATCTGATTCTACCAAAGAGTGCGCGATCGCTCGATCCCCGCTACAGTTAATTCCAAAATGCGATTAGTTCTACAGATGGCGCAGGCGCGAAGTGAATCGCGATCGGTAGACGGGAACCGAGAGGCACATACATGGCTGAGGCGTCCGCCGCCTCGCCGCGGGGGCAGCCTGCGGCGGAGAAGGCGCGGGTGGGGAAGGCGGCTACGGCGGCGGGGTCGACCCCTCCCCCTCCAGCGGCGTGTCCCTGGCGGTCGAACGGAACGTGGGAGGAGTGACCGGCTCTGACCCCGACGGGGGGGAAGCGGGGGAGAGGCGGCGAGGGGCGGCGGCCGCGGCGCACGTGGCGGGTGAGGGCGCAGACGAGCCGGGAGCACACGAAGACGATGAAGAGGACGCTGGCGCAGAAGCCCAGCAGCGTGAGCACCGTGCTCGCCGGCACCATTGGGGCGGCGCCGTCGGCGCCCCGCCGGCGCGGCTCTCTCTCTCTCTCTCTCTCTCTTCTCCTCCCTTGTGCTGTCGGTTATACGGTTGGAGAATCCGGCCCTCGTTTCTCACAGTTCGGTTGCGTTTCTGTTCCGTTTATGCCGTGATGGTCAGGTCTTTTGTTTGGGAAAAGGCAATTCGATGAAAATCTGAAAACTAATGCCATGGGTCATTAGATCAATAGCGAAGGGCAGAGATGAAACCTGAGATTGCTAACTCACCACTTAACCCCTTCCCCTCATTAGAGCATCTCTAGCAAACGACGGCCCGCAAAACACGTTTGCAATTTACGGAAAAAAAACTTTACGGGTCGGCGCGGGCGGCCGTGGAGTCAGATCCCACAAACGGACACATATAAAGGATATTTGCAGAAGATGTTTTTTTACGGATCGGCTACCCCGAGTCTGCTCGGGCACCGCCGCGTCGACTCGCAAACCGAAAAACTTCAATAAGCGAATTTGACAGTGATTCTGACAAGTGACTTCAAATTCAAATGCTAAAACATAGTTCGTGCGCAAATAAAATCATAGTTTTGTAGCACAAACGCAAAAGGACTTGCAAAAGCGACGACCACATCCTTGATCATCTTGTTGCTCTTCACTCCGCACCACCTCCATCGAGGTCATCGCCGCCCTCGAATCTATCGCCAACACTTGTTCCCACTCCGGCACCGAGATCACCAGCAGGCTCACTGAATGCATCGACAATATTGGTTCCAAATCCCGATGAGGAAACATCACCGACAGTGTAACACACATCGGCCGACACAAGCATCCTCCTCTTCAAGATGTCCCTCCTTGTCATATCATGCCACTCTTTGGTGATGTCGTCCATGTCATTGCGGTTCAATGTCATGATCCTATTCTCTTCGGCAAGAAGCTTGGACATGGCTTTGTTTTTGGCGGCACGTGCTCTTCTCACCTCAATGGCCGCATTGCGCAACCCCTCGTCCTTAAGCAATTGCCACTTATCCTGCTTCTCCCGTGCCTTCTTCTCAGCCAACTCTTTATTTGTCTCCAATATCTTCACTAACATCAACTCATTTGATTGCACCATGGCATCTATCTTGTCCCGCAAGCTCGATGCTTCGTGGTCCCTCTTGATCTTCTCCTTTGTCTTCTTGTCACCATCGGGCTTGTTCAAGTTTCTTGGGCCATCATCATCTTCATCTTCATCCATGTTGGTAAATGAACCTCTCTTCGGCGGGGATTCCTTGTCAATCAACTTCCACTTCTCGCAACCTTTTAGCATATCCCAACAATGCTCTAGCTTAAAAAGTTTGCCTTCAGAAGCTTCCATGTCTTTGTATCTTTGTTGGGCAATTTTGTCCTACACAATTTAAACAAAGTCAAATGATGCAATCACTTCATATGATGCAAAATGATATGCACAACTTGGGACGTGAAAACGAACTCACATAGTCGAATTCCATGGTTCCACTTGGAGGTGCATTGCATACTTGTTCCAAGCAAGCTGCCCAGCGGCTGCAAATCGGCTTGATCACGTCCCAACGCCCTTGGAGTGACCGAAAGGTCTGTGGTATCCTATTGGGATGCTTGTCCATCATGCGGAAGTATTGATCTTCGATTCTTTGCCAATATATCTTGGAGGTTTGAGATCTACCCGTGCAAGCATCAGGAGACACCACACTCCTAGCCTTGATCAAGATTTGATCTTCCAAGATCGTGTACTTCTTCGATCTCACGCTTTTTTTGCTTGTGATTCCTCATACACCCCTCATCTACTTCCTCCACTTCATCTTCACCACCGTGATCATCCACGCCACCCTCCATTTCATTGTAATCGAATTAGCGAACGGGGCCCTATCGATGTCGACGGTGTTGGTGTCCAACAAGTTCACGAACTCGGCAATGGCATTGTTCGAACCACTGCTACATTGAGCGACATCAAGTCAAGAACAACCACAATGCCAAAAAGCTAAGCAAGAACAAGAGGTCGAAGGTGCATATCTTGCGGACATTTCGTCGAACACCTCGCTTGCGGTGGAAGCAGCGCCGTTGAACGGCATCATCGGGGAACATCTTGCAGGGGCGGAGGGAGTGAATGAAGGCGTCGACCTTTTCGTAGGGACCTTCTTCCGCTTCACGTCTGAAACCTTGCTCACCTTCTCCGCCCGCGGCCGGGCAGATTACGCAGCGTAAGCGGCGCCCGGCGCGCGCGTCTTTCCGGCAGGACCAGCCGAATTGCCGCCCTGCACGACAATGTTGCCCTGCCACTTGCGGGCAAGCACATTGGGGCCTTAGGTGACGGCGGGGCCGACATGGCCGGCGACGAGATTCGCCGGAGGGGATTGCGCATGCGTGACCTCCACGGTGACGGGGGATGGCTGGGAGGCTTCCATGGCGGCGAAGAATGGCGGGGAAGATGGACCGGAGCGCGCGGTGGCGGGGCAATGGCGGCTGGGAAGGGGGGGGGTGGAGCGGGAACGGTCACGCGAACATTTCCCTCGCGCCAAATCTCGCCGCGGATAAGGGGCGAGCTCGGTTTGGCCTCCCACCCCGTGAATCTAAAGGTTGAGGGCAAACTTTTGCCGCGCTCCGCAAAAACTTTTACGGGTCGGACGCGTTTGCGCGGTCTGTTCAGGCAGGATTTTCCGTGCAGACCCGTATTTTAGCGGTTATTTTGCGGGTTGGGGCTTTTTACGGGGTCTGCTAGAGATGCTCTTAATCAATTCAATTTACTCGACCCCGCGGGCTTGCTCACACAAAATGCCTCGCTCCATGGTAGCGCCGCCAAATGCGATGGGACCTTGGTGCCCAACAATGGTGACGCGGCAGCGCGACGCTCTTCCCACACGATAGCAACCCGATGGTGCGGGACTCTCCCCACACGACGACACATAATGAGAAACCTTTGAAAACCTCATGTGTGAAGTGCATGTTGTTGGGGAACGTAACATGCAATTTCAAAAAAAAAATCCTACGATCACGCAAGATCTATTTAGGAGATGCATAGCAACGAGAGGGGGAGCGTGTGGTCACGTACCCTCATAGACCGAAAGCGAAAGCGTTAGTTTAACGCGGTTGATGTAGTCGAACGTCTTCACGATCCAACTGATCAAGTACCAAACGTACGACACCTCCGAGTTTAGCACACGTTCAGCTCGATGACGTCCTTTGAACTCTTGATCTAGCAAAGTGTCGAGGGAGAGTTTCGTCAGCACGACGGCGTGGTGACGGTGATGGTGATGTGATCCATGCAAGGCTTCGCCTAAGCACTACGACAATATGACCGGAGGAGTAAACGGTGGAGGGAGGCACCACACACGGCTAAGAGACAATTGATGTGCTTTGGGGTGCCCCCTGCCCCCGTATATAAAGGAGGAGAGGGGAGGAGGCCGTCCCTAGGGACGCGCCAAGTGGGGGGGGGGAACCCACTAGGACTCCTAGTCCTAGTCGGCCCCCTTCCTTCTTTCGGAGGGGGAAAGGGGAAGGAGAGGGAGAGGGAGAAGGAAAGGGGGTCGTGCCCCCTCCCCTTCTCCAATTCGGACTCCCATGGGAGGGCACCCCTTGTGGGCTTCCCTCTCTCCCCCTATGGCCCATGTTGGCCCATTACTTTCCCCGGGGGTTCCGGTAACCCCTCGGTACCCCGATAAATATCTGAAACACTCCGAAACCATTCCGGTGTCCGAATACCATCGTCCAATATATAAATATTTACCTCTCGACCATTTCAAGACTCCTCGTCATGTCCGTGATCTCATCCGGGACTCCGAACAATCTTTGGTCACCAAAACACATAACTCATAATACAAATCATCATCGAACGTTAAGCATGCGGACCCTACGGGTTCGAGAACTATGTAGACATGACCGAGACACAACTCTGATCAATAACCAATAGCGGAACCTGGATGCTCATATTCGTTCCGACATATTCTACGAAGATCTTTATCGGTCAAACCGCAATGACAACATATGTTATTCCCTTTGTCAACGGTATGTTACTTGCTCGAGATTCGATCATCGATATCCTCATACCTAGTTCAATCTCGTTACTGGCAAGTCTCTTTACTCATTCCGTAATGCATCATCCCGTAACTAACTCATTAGTCACATTGCTTGCAAGGCTTATCATGATGTGCATTACCAAGAGGGCCCAGAGATACCTCTCTGATACTCGGAGTGACAAATCCTAATCTTGATCTATGCCAACCCAACAAACACCTTCGAAGACACCTGTAGAGCATCTTTATAATCACCCAGTTACGTTGTGACGTTTGATAGCACACAAGGTGTTCCTCCGGTATTTGGGAGTTGCATAATCTCATAGTCAAAGGAATATGTATAAGTCATGAAGAAAACAATAGAAATAAAACTTAACGATCATTATGCTAAGATAACTGGTGGGTCTTGTCCATCACATCATTCTCCTAATGATGTGATCCCGTTCATCGAATGACAACAGACGTCTATGGTTAGGAAACTTAACCATCTTTGATTAACGAGCTAGTAAAGTAGAGGCATACTAGGGACACTTTGTTTTGTCTATGTATTCACACATGTATCAAGTTTTCGGTTAATACAATTCTAGCATGAATAATAAGCATTTAACATGATATAAGGAAATATAAATAACAACTTTATTATTGCCTCTAGGGCATATTTCCTTCAGTCTCCCACTTGCACTAGAGTCAATAATCTAGATTACATTGTAATGATTCTAACACCCATGGAGTCTTGGTGCTGATCATGTTTTGCTCGTGGAAGAGGCTTAGTCCACGGGTCTGCAACATTCAGATACGTATGTATTTTGCAAATATCTATGTCTCCCTCCTTGACTTGATGACGGATGGAGTTGAAGTGTCTCTTGATGTGTTTGGTTCTCTTGTGAAATCTGGATTCCTTCGCTAAGGAAATTGCTCCAGTATTGTCACAAAAGATTTTCATTGGACCCGATGCACTAGGTATTACACCTGGATCGGATATGAACTCCTTC